CAAAACTCACTTGTTTCAATTTGCTTTTCCAACATAACCTTTCTTTTATTCTATCTTTTTAATTTGGATTGTTTTATATAGATTTTGTAAATTGTTTGCTCTTATGTTTGTTTTTTTATCATTTGTTGTGTACAGTGTCCTTGAGTGTCTTGAAAGGCGCTTTTAAATAAAATGTATTATTATTATTATTATTATTATTACTGCCTTGCCTTTACATCTAAACAGATAGCTGTTTTTTTAACACTTTTTTTTGTAAAAAATGAAGAGCAGAACAATGACCCACAAAATATAGGCCTAAGTATTCTGTTTAAAAAGTGTACGTTTACATTTATTTATTCAATTATGCCAACTTGCAGCAGTAACCCACTGACGGCCTGTAATATAACTTCCTGTTACTTTGTATTTTTTATCCAATCACCGAGGTTTAAAATGAAGACGACTTTTGGCCTGAAGTAAACGTCCTACCTTTTTAAAGTACAAAATGCAATTTTGAATGAACACAAATATCTAAATCTTAGTTTAGTACATTTTATATTATAGGGGTACATTTTATATTATAGGGGTACATTTTATATTATAGGGGTACATTTTATATTATAGGGGTACATAATGTACTAAAACCACTTTATTTAGCTGACAGTAGTGCTAAATTGGTACGGGAGGGATCCTGTCCGTATAGCGTCTGGGGACTGGAGCTGAAATTGGGCCTGTGGATTTTGTATGGTCCCCCTGCGTTTGTGTGGGGTCCCATCAACTTCAACACGTGGTGATAGTGAACTGATGTTTCGGAATCGTCCAGAGTACTCCTTCCGTATACCCTGTGTTTCCGGGAGCAGTTAACTTTGATCCTTATGTTAAAATGAATAAATCAAGTTTGTTGTCTAGTTTACTATTGGAAGTAGTTCGTGTGTAAATCCAGCAGAGGGCAGTGTCTCCTCGAAAATATATTTTTTTTCAGCGAACAGAGCGTTTCCTTGAGATGACTACAAAGATTTTGCTTAGGAATATTATTAACGCAATTTTATGCTTCACTCATATCATAGTGATAGCACACAAAGTCCCACATTAGTCAGGATAATACAAAACCAACTGCCATCAAACTCAAACCAATTCCTTGAGTTTTTCTTTTGTATCAGAAAATAGTCCTGAACTCAAGGGAGTCTGGAAATCTTCCACAAAAGCTGTTTCTCGGTGTGAATATTGATGCTTCCATGTTCCACTCTCGCCAGTGTGGGGAAGCAATAAAAAAGGCCAATAGGATGTTGGGTTACATCTCTAGGTGTGTGGAGTTTAAGTCAAGGGAGGTGATGTTACACTTATACAATTCCTTGGTAAGACCCCATCTAGAATACTGTGTGCAGGTTTGGTCACCTTACCTCAAGAAGGACATTGCTGCCTTAGAAAAGGTGCAACGTAGAGCTACGAGAATGATTCCTGGTCTTAGAGGAATGTCTTATGAGGAGCGGTTAGCTGAGCTGAATCTGTTCAGCCTCGAGCAAAGGAGACTAAGGGCGGACATGATCCAGGTATATAAGATTCTAACAGGTCTGGATGCTGTTCAGCCAAATGGCTATTTCAATATTAGT